GATGGACTTTGCCATCACTGAGAGAATGTGTGTGAAAGGCTGAATGTGGCAAAGCGATTTGAGTGGTCGGAAGACTAGAAAGGCGTCCAGGTCCATTTACTATTTACCAAATGCATTGTGTGGGTTAGGCGGGCTGAATGAATGTTTGAGGAACCACAGCTTATGTTACTTCCATGTTGGCTTCATTCGCCAGCTACTGAGGTTGCCATTTGAGTAAGACATATACAAATAGTCTGTTTTGAACAAAAATTGGTGTCTGATTGGTGTCTGTTTTTTCGATGAAAAAAGTATAATTTCCACCTTAAGTTTCCTAAAAAGGCATCCTTCTACCTCATTAAAAATTACAGAATCTATGAATATGCTAATTCCTGTTGGACACAAGATGTCTCCTACTTCACTATAAAGTCCATTCTTAGTGTATGTGCACTGGTGGCTTCAGGTTTTTTACATCACTATTTATGCTCGTAGTCCCCGCCCCTTAAAATCTGATTTTCAGTGAGCACAGAGAAACTTTCCACTTTCAGCAGATGCATGTGAAAACATCCTTCTAGTGTCAAACTTCAAATGTCAATTCATTCTGCACAGTGAATCTCAAATATCCAACTGTAGGAACAAGAAGAAACACTGAGATTTGACAGGAGGTGCACTTTAAGGTGCTCACAAGCCAATATTATTAATATGGTGATAAACTCATTCTATTCTTTAAATATATGATGACTTCAAAACTTTCAAGTCATCATTGCCCTTATAAATCTGAATTTCCTTAAGACATTTGTAAAATGTTTTACTGCTTGAATTATCTAGATTTTGCAAAACATATCCAACGAATTTAAGAAAATCACAAAATCATTGCAGAGTAGTCCCATGGGATCTAAATAAACTTTTTAAAAACAGAATTCTTTTTTAAAAAAAAGATTGTAGTGAGTCTGCCCTACTTTCTGACTGTGTTTAATGAATTGCTAGAAAATGACCCACTTTCTCCTACTTGTGCATAAATCTTACAGTTACTTAAAAAAGATAAAGACCCCACCCCACACAGCCGCTTCCCTAAACTTTTCAGCATCACAATGGACAAGACAGTCCCAAACAACGCTGCTGTATGGCTTTAAAAACTACTAAAGATTTTATATTTTTAATATTCTCTCATACATATTTAATTTTAGTGCTATTAAAGCCTTTAGAACTCTTTGAAACATACAGTCAAACTCTTCACTGATACCCATGGTAATAAAAAAAACATTTTGGGAGTTGCATCTGATGAAAATGTGACATTTAAAACAATTTATTAGTATATCACAACTGGGACATTCCAAAATATAAAGTGCCCAAAGTGACCTCTTCAAATTGCTTCTTTGCTTCTTTTGCCAACAGTCCAAAAACCAAAGACTCTTCATTTACCATCAAAAATGACAAGAAATTCAGCAATTCGTTACATTCAAGAAGCTGGAAACTTTGATCTAAAAATGACTGAAATGATTAATCAATTAGCAAAATTGTTGGAAAGGACCTTTTGTGGCCAAAAAGGAGATGTTGCAGTATTTTTTGTGGAAAATATAGACACGATGTACACTACAAAATACATTTTGTAAAAAACAACAACTTTTGGTTTCTTTCATCCCAAATAATTAAATTATGTAAAAAAGAATCTAAATATTAAAACCTTTTCTCTTCTGGATCTCAGGGGCAGACTTCTATCCTTTAAACTCCAACAAAGAAAACATTTATTCCAGCTCCAGCCAGACTAGCCACACACCCATACAGTACATGTGTACAAGTAGATGCATGTGAGTCAGTTGCGGTATGACCTTGAGACTCCGTGTTCATCTCTGTTTACAGAGGTCACTCTTTAAACATGCCTGCTCCTGCTAACATGAGAACATGTTTGCAGTGGCTAAACAGAGGAAAAAGCCACAGCAGCGACATGTTCCAAATATGTCCCCTAACATCTGTGTTGGCATTGATTTTGATAAGGACATTGTTTGACGTTGGCCAACAGTTCAGGGCACGTATGGATGACCCTTAGAAGAGTAAAGACGGTATGTTGACTGATAGATAGCTATAGATAGTAATAGATAGTGATGTACAGTTTGACATGCTGATATGCTGTAGCGGGATATGTGCAATATCTGCTTTGGTGTAGTATCACTTTATTAGACGGAGCTCTCTGTGTTTGTTTCAAAGAATTATTTCTTTTGAAGAGGGATCAAAGCTGGTGGTTTGAAATATGTAAAGACAGCTTATGTGTATTATTGTGGCTCTTAGTTTGTTCTTGGTTGTTAGAGACATGAAACCTCTTAGACTGTTATTCTCCTACTGGAGTGAAATGTATAGCTCCATAAACATTCCTGGTACTCATTTCTAACAAGGTGCTGAGGTCCCTTCTTAGAAATAGTTTTAAGGGGAGACACTGAACAGGGTAGACATTTTAACTAATAGATATCACCATGAATCTTCCTCAGTTGATTACTTACATCAAGACAAGTACTTTTTTTTATATGTTTATATGATATATTATCTAATTAAAAATTAGTTATTTTGCATACAGAAATCTAAACAATGGATACCAGGGTAAACATTCTTGTTCCTTTTTTTTGACATATTAGAGTCTAAGGTTTCTCTTTTTATAACTCCATAAATCAGTAAATACTGACAGCCATAAAAAATAATTTTTTGCCATGTTTTTAGGAATAAAATGTGCTATGTGTGATAAAATGTAACTCAGGCTATGAAATATATATGAACAAACCATTCTTTAGAAACCTTCAGAATACAGATAGGAATAAAACTGGAAGTTTTGGTGTATGTAAGTGTTACTGAAGTGGAGATTTCTGGCTCAGAGAGAAAAAACTAATTTTGAGAAAATGTATATATAGACTAGTGTATATACACTGGTACACTAGCATACTACACTGGTGAATAGGGTACAAATTTCATCTAATAACCAACTTCCCCAGTTGGTTACTCACATTAAGACAATTATTTTTGCATTGGCAAGTTTTCTGAAGTGTTATATTTAAAAATGCAAATGAGGCATTATCTATTGCTAACTTTTAACAAACAGACTGTATATTAAAGTGTACTAAAATAAACACCTAAATGTGTATTTTGAGCATTTTTTTTTCAACTAGTCTGAAAGAAGACATGTTATGGAAGCAAAATAGTGTGATAAATTTATGTTTTAGGTGGGGAAGTTAATG